GCTCAGGACACAAAAGTTACTCAATCCATTTTTTTCTCTTCCAGGAAACACCCTCAAAAATTCCTAAGAGTCTCAAAGGCACAGTAAGCTAACACACTGGGCTCTGGACCTGCCCTTTTCACCTGTGAACTGTGCTTCCTGCATCCTCAAGGAAACAGCAACATCAGTGGGCAGCAGATACCGGCTTTAAACTCTTGAAAATGGCTTGCATTCTGACAGCCTGTCAGTTGGAGAACCTCACAGATAGTAGGAACCCGTGTCCTAGACCACTCATCCAGAACACGCCTCCCAAAGCTTTTTAAATATATGCAGCTCCAGCTCATGGGGTGCCTGTCCCTCCTCAGCCAGTTAGAGGGAAAGGGAGTTGGGACCATGACTTTGAGAAGTTCAATCAAAGGCTTTCCATTTTTTTCTTTCCCATTTCCCCCAACCCCTTGCCCTGTGAAGCATAGTTTGTCTTTCTTTCTCTCTTTCTATCTGTAAACTTCTACAGCTTTAGGTTTTTTCCTTTTCAACAATCAGACACTCCCAAGTTCCTAAAAAATGAGTTCTTGCACATAAAAAGCATCAAAAACAAGTAGCGCTGGCTCCCTCTAACCAAAAATGAAAAGGGGTGTTGAGAGGTCTCCCCTACGACATGCAGCAGCCTACCTGGTACTCCTTCAGTACAATATACCTATTCCTAGGTCAGATGGAACTAAAATCTACTCAGAGAGAGGCACAGAAGGATAGGCCCACACAGTGTCTGGAGCAAAGTTTCCCAGGCAACCAACATGGCAAACCTAGTCCTGAGCAGTCATAGAAAAGACTAGTCTTTGGGGTGACAGACACAGGAGCCATCTCTTTAACCCATCACACACGTTGGGGTCCTAAACACTTTAGATAAAAGGAGAGCCTCTAAACTGCTCTTTTGATCTTTCCTTCTCCTGCTTCCCCCCGAAACCGAAAGGCAAAAGCTCAGTCCACCTGATGTATGGTTCCCCTTTTTGGTGGCTGAGAACATTTCCTAAACTGTGCAGATTCACGTGGTCAATCAACTGATAGCTGGTATTATCCTCAGAACCTGGGAAACTCTATGTATTCAAACTGAAAAGGAGCCCACTGGTTTTCTCTTTTTGTTTTCCCTTCTCTCTCCCCTAACAAAGCCCTAATTGAACTCTTGTCCCTTCTCTCCCACTCTTACGATCTCATCTGTCAAAAAAAAACACCTCAAATCCTTTAACTTTTTCTGGTATTAGTTAACAAAAGGAGTCAGAGAGCTGGAGAGTGCAGGGGGATCAAGGGGAGCTGAGAAACTCAAAAAATTCATCTCCTGGTTCTGCTTACAGGTCCTTGTGCATCCCACTGCATGAGAGAGGGAAGGGAAGCACATGGCCTCTTCCTGCTGAAAGGAAAGGTCCACAGGCACTCTGGAAGGGCATATTTTAGCCCTTCTCAGCTGTCTACTATAACTTTCATGGATCCTAAGGCCCCTGTCCAGCTCTGACTTCAATTATTTTTTCCCCAGCTTGCTTCCTCCCTCTACCTTACTTGGTTGTGGTATTCTTGTGATAATTTTAGTATCAAGTTTATCTCCCTATCTAAAGTTGTATGTGATCTGTAGTTGCTAAGTGACATCTACAGATTCTTTAAACCCTCTATGAGTTCCATATATATATTTTTTTTTAAACAGGTCCCTAAACATAAACATCTCTGGGGTAAATTTTTGAGTAAAGTCAAGCTATTGTGTGAAACTCCTTTATCCTATTTTCCTGATCTACTGAGAAAGGTTAAAAAAGCTACATGCCCTCCCAAAAAATGCTCATTTAGGACATGAGCAACAGATTTCCATTACTAGCAATGCCTAGACTAGTCAATGACAAAAAACAGACAACAGCTGCCCCTCTGGACAGCTCCAACTGCAGGGTAACAGCGCAGAATTGCCAATCACAGGGTTCTAACCCTGGGGTAACAGGGCAGAGCTGTCCCCCAGGTAGTTCTGCCTCAGGGAAATAGGGTGGGCTGCACGCACAGCACCCTGACATTAGTGGGGGCCGCATGCATGGCCTGACCTCATTTGGAGGCACACACAGGGTGACCCCAGGATGAAGTGAGTGCTCATGAAGCCTGGTCTGGAGACCTAAATCAGATCTCATCTTTTCTTTTTTCTCTCCTTTCTTTCTCTATCTCTTTATAGAAGTACACAAGGGGCATCTTAAAGGTGGATAGTATATCTTAAATAATTATGGGTAACTAAAACACGTCTCCAAAACATCACCTTCCAGTTATATTTTATGAACTTGGGATCAATTTTAAATGGAGGATTTTAAAAGGTTGACTTTTCTCCAAATATAAGTCAAAGAATAAAGAGGGAAGGCCTCAAACTTGGTTTTATAATAAGGAGGGACAGTGAACAAATATTCTAGCTAGCAGTCAACAGTCCTTCTCTCTTCCCTCTCTGACTCTTATTGGTTACAAGTCAGAGTGTTAACTAACAGGAAAAACTACTCCATGTAGTAAAGGAAATACTGCCGTGCCTTATATAAGAAAAAAAGGAGAGGTAATTGATAACCTCTACGAAAATTTTAACTCAGTCTATTTACAATTATAAATCTAAAATTATAAAAAAGAGTATTATAATTCAGCATGGCCAGTGCATCTAAGAGTACACTCTGATTTAATGTAACTGTGTTATGTGTTTTATCTTTTTTTTGTCTGTCTACTTGTTAATCTATTTCAATAACCGGTTAAAGTGCCTCCAGCTGCTTCATTAAAAAAGTATTTTTTAGCTCATATAAATTTATTTTTATTTTGTGCCCTTATAGACTTCTGGCAATTTGATTGGTTAAATAAATATTATTTTAGTTTATGATACATCCTATATATCTGAGACTGAAGATGTATATATGTCTAAAGACAAAATACGTAAAGTCTAAGCTTTAAAGTTTAATACATGCAAATTAACTAGTAAGTGTTCTCCTTTATACAATATACATTACACCTACACTTCAGACATATAAAATGATCAAAATTTTTGACATCTCTTTAAATTTGGTACTACCATTTAAAACTTGATCTATAGCTATTAGCTTTGATTAAACAAGCATTTTGCTATTATGTAAATGACATATACTTGTATGCATATAAGAGTAGTAAGTCTTCTTGTGGTCATTTGCACTATTTTCTAAACTTGAAAGAGCTCTAAAGATGTTCTTTAATTCTTGTCAATATAGTCATACAATATAAACCTGATAAAGGAAACTAAATTTTTCCTTAAGAGTAAAAATTAAGTAAATATACGTAAAGATTGCTATAAAGCTGTGATGTTAATCATTATTAACCTCATGGTGTAATGAATACATTTGTGTTTCTCAAGTATACAGGCCTTCTATGATATGGAACTTAGGAAAACATCTTATCACACTGATGATCTCCAAACTAAATTAACTTATGATGATGGACCTTTTTTCAGGCTTATGTTTATGTGACTGTTATATAACTGTGTTATGCTAGCTAGATATGCCTAAGAAATATGCAGTTCAGACAGTGTCACTCTAAAGATTAAAGACTAGACATTAGTTACCTATAAAGTACATCTGCAAACAAGTACTGTAGCTACTATAGTAAAGTAGCAGCAAATTTAGACAAATATTTATGTAATATAATTTATAATTAGAAAAGGGAAATTATGTTAGTTTACATTCTTATTTAAAATGAGAATTTAAATGTATTTTTAAAACTCTAATGGTTCTAGAATATTAATATCACAATTGTTATGCTAAGATGCTATATTTGCTCCTGATTTCAAATTCTCCTTATAAAACATTATAACTGTTACCTAACATTCTACAGGAATATGACTTCTAAAAGGCAACTTGAGCCATCTGTTGAGATGGTAAGTCATCATCTACAATACAGACAGGATATAACACTGACTCCTAATATTAATTCTGATGGTGATTAATATAAGAAGTAACAGTTCTCTGGTCATACTTTTTATTTCAAAGTGCTCAATATCCAGATAGGATTATGCTAGTTAACCCTACTGCTCCCACTTTAATACTGGTGTAACTGATCTTCTGGGTGTTCAACAACTGAGCTTGAAAACCAAAGCTAAAAAAGATAACCTGGTTAAGAGAACAGCCAATATTTTAGTCTTTGTACTTCAAGGTCAACCAGGACTGAGGATATGAGGGGACCCATCCAAAAGGATCCTACAACTCCAATGAGTTCCCTAACCTTCCAAGCAGAGAGATTACTGGACCCCAAAGGACAGGAGTCAACCAGTGCATATTGTGTTAAAAGGAGGGCCACTAAACGGAGAACATCCCCATGCTTCCAAAGGAAGTCATCTTGTCAAGTAAGACCATAACTCATCCTGGCAGATGATACAACTGATACAGCAAAAGAATACAGAGAAGCTAAGAGACTCCCTGAGGAGCCTTACCTGACCTTGACAAATACATATAGGAAGAAAGAGATTAACTCTGATTAGTACAGGTCTTACTTTGACTTGGTCTTAAATGCCTAACAAGAAAGAATAACCAAAAAAAAGATAGATATACAGAGAAAGAGAAAGAGAATAATAGTATTGTTAAACAAAAAATTAGGTTTTATATATATAAAGAGGGTTCCAAACACTGTGTCTGCTGGCAGACTCTGGCTGCACCTCTAACTTACAAGAA